TCGTCTTTCTTCGGTTTCTTTTACAAGAGGAGAGCTGACGAAAACAGAAGGGACTTGCATTTGATGCTTCCAGATGCAGAAGGTGTAGCGAGTATGTGCTTTCCTCCGCAGGATCGGAAAACAGACTTTTTGGGGCCCTTGGTCAGCAGAGAAAGGAATCATTTAGCTTGTCAGTTTACAGTGTGGGCTTCGGCTGTCTGACAAATATCTTTCAATGCGTTGCGGGTGTCTGATTTGACGTGTACGAGGGGGCTCTTTCACAAACAAGTCTCTGGCATCCCATTCATAGGCCATGGCCAGTCGTGCTGTGCAGTCTGAGTACCCCAAGGTCCCAATACAATCCTGATTAAGCAATATACCTTAGACTACACAAGGACCTATAGGTATGTCCTGGATGAAGGTATATCGGGCTCTTGGGATAATCTGCCCTAATCAGAAACCAAGTTTGCATCTCCCGCTCGGCCTCCTGAGACTGTATCATTGCTAGAAAAGGAATATTACCATGGATATTCCCCATAATATAATGGCCGTGTGTTGGGCTTAGGGGGTAGGGGGGGTAATTTTCAGAGGCAGACCATAGGATTAGTGGATGTTTGCCGCAGGTATGCGAGGGCGGAAGGTAATTTGGCACAGTTGGAGACCTTCGTCGGCGAGTGCGAGAAGCAGCTGAACGACTGAGCCAAGCCCGCATGCAGAAACTTCTTCTTAAGAAGCCTACATTCTAAACTCCTAAACCACAAGTCGCAGTCCTCAACTCTACATACCCATCCCAGGTCTTCAGAAGAATCAGATTCCTCCTCTGAGCTTACAGGAGGCCATCGCATGTGCCAAGATTGCGGCGAGCGCCTCTTAGATGAGCCATGTTTGTTTTTGTTGGCGTTTCTGGGGGTATAGTGCGTTCCTGTTATGCGGCTTTGGTGTGCTTCTGAGGTGTTTCCGCGGATTACGCGTAGAGGGTGTATACTAGTATACGTAGATGTAGAGATGTAATTGTGAGCACCGCATGTTTGAAGCAGACCAGTGCCATGGAAAGGCATCCTGCAGGAGTTCAAACCAGGGTTCGTACTGAAGCTATCGCACCTTGTATATCGTATATACTGAACGTTCATTGTGGCCGGCGTGCAACAGCGGATCGCAGGGGTATAGGGTTAGGGGCTCAAGGCTTGATATTGCAGACTTTTTTCCTGCATTTGCGCTAGGAAGCTCCAGCGCCAAGCCTCGCCCAAGTTACTATCGCTCACAGGTCGCGACTTCAGAGTAGGGGTCTAGGGCACGCGTTTCCAGAGCTTGACATAGAAACTCGATGGATTCCACCACTGGGTCGCTAAGGCTCTGGCACGTTTGTGTGAGAGCTCTTCTGTGGTGACCTAAGGAGATGAGCATCGATCTGTGCTTCCGACTGAAGCTGGGTCTTTCTTGAAGATCCGTTTTCATTGGCTCTGACACCAAAGCCCCAAAAGAAGAGGCAAGGGCTTAGGGGAAGCAAGCAAATCTTTAGATTAAAAAAGGATTGAGGTCGCGGCATGGGGCCTGAACCGCGTAGCAGACAGTCAGACACCCAGACACCCAGACACCCAGACACTCAGACAGTCATTTGTAGGTCCTTTCACGTTTGACTGTCTGCCTGGGGGGTCTGACTGTCTGACTTTCTGCCCCATCGCGTCTGACTGTTTGCCTGTCTGCCTTTCGAGTCTGACTGTCTGACTGTCTGCCTCGCGGGTCTGACTGTCTCACTGTCTGCTTTTCATTTCGGGACCCAAACGCACGCTCTCTGATAGTGATGTAGGGGTTGCAAAGGCTTTGTTGCACGCGGCATAAGAAGCCTATGCAGGTTGGTCAACCTTAACGAGTGTTTTTTGTTTCAGAATCCGGTAATGGACGTGTTAATCTTTGCTTGGCATGGCTGCAAACATGTGGTGATCCAAGTTAGGTTTCACATCCATAGCCTTACCGCCCTACTCTGGAACTAGGGGCCGCTATAACAGAACCTGTGCAGACGAAGGAAGCAAGATGTTGGATCGCACGCCTTGATGGGCGATACTGGCTTCGAGCAGATGGACTTTCTACAGGCCAGGGGTTTAGGGGTTTGGGTGTTTAGGGTTTAGCGCATGTGAAGCAGCAGAAATGCACAGGTGTGTAAGAACAGTAGTAGGCTCAAAATGACTGCTGCCACTCCAGGATGCGCAGTTCAATGAGATCACATGGGACTTTCTCGATGTAATAATGGTCGACTATTCCCAATAAGGCCCCCCCATAATCCCTCTATAGCCGTAGGATCTCTGGGTGCCCCATATTTCGAGAAACCTCCACGCCAAGCCACAAGGCGTGCAAGTTCGCAGAAGGAGACTCGCGGATTCTCATGCAGAAGCTGGCCAGGGACCGCGTTGCCTGAATGGATCTTACCCGGGAACGTTGGTCTATGTATAGAATGGTCCCAAATCCAACTACTTGCAGGCCATTGACATTGGTGTCAGATTTCTCATCTTAGCCCCTATAAGCCTATAAACCTGCATGATCCCTACATAGCCCTTACTATTCAACCCCTGTATATCCCTATATAAGCTATCCCGGTGTTTGTCACAAGAGTCTTTGCATCATCCTCAAGGTGCAACTTGATAATCCCCCCACAGACCGACCGGGTACCTAACTGCCTTTGCTCCCCCAGAAGTATCGTGCTGTAGTCCCCATACCCTAAGCCCGAAACCCTCAACCCTGAACCTAAATAAACCCTTCACCCTAGAAGCAAATCCCCGGTCCCCAACTCAGCGTGAACAAGGTTAAAATATCTTCAGCTGTTGGCTCCAGCTGCTTGGCTGCATCCGCTTGGGATTTAGAAAGCGCAAAGTTGTAGCAAGGCAATGTGTCATACTACAAGAACACCCATATCATCTCAGTGTTTCATTTTTCATGTTCTTATCCGTTTGGATCTCAATTGCTATCCATTTTTGGTCATTCTTGGGGTAATATATCCCTAAGCCCAAGAATAATTTCCATGTTGACGTGGCACGTTCCCTTCCATTATCCCTATGTATAATCTTATATAATCCGTAAATGACCTATTTAGGCCCCTGCTTGCCTACCTAGGTCTGCATGCCAAGCTTTTGTAAGATTGGAAGGGGCAGGGGCTCTTCACAAGGGTGAGGCGTGACTTATGAGGGTGTGTGACAGGTGGACTTTGTGGACTAGGTATATATGTATATAGATGTACACACAGATTTACTAATATAAAAAGGTTTCCTTTTTCAAAGTATGCAGGGACCTGAATTTCGAAAGGATCCTTATACAAGTTCTTACAGGGACATCCGCAGGGCCCTAGCACCTCATTTAAAAGAGAAGAAGATGAAAGAATACAGTAATAAATTCCACGGCCCTCTGTATCCCTATACCCTCCTTCAAGGCCTAGGCATAATAAAATCCTATGCCTAGGGATCCAAGTGTACAAATAATACTTACATCGGACCCCAAAGTTTGTGAATATTACCTAGCTCGGGCTATTTGGATCCCTAGGGAAATATCCCAAAACCCTAAACCCTAAAACGTGGGCACAGCCTTTTGTATCCCTATACCCACCTTAAAGGGGCACTGAGCGTATCGTTTTTGGCGCAGCTCCCCGCCGAGGCGAGGAGCAGAGGCTCGCGGAGGAACTCCGCACAGCTATGAAGGGCGGAGCCCAGGCCAGGCGTATAGGGTTTCGGGTTTGGGATTTGGGGTTTAGGGTTTAGGACTATAGGGTTCAGGGCTAGGGTTTAGGGTTTAGGATTAGAGGGTTTAGGGTGTTAGGGTCTAGGGTTGAGGATTTAGGGCATAGGGTATAGGATGGCGAAAGGGATGGAAAAGACAAAGGAAACTACAAGGAAGGAGAACCTGCAAGGTCACTACCAACTATTTGAAGGGATCACAATAGTACCCCCCAAAGGTACCCCCCCCAGGGTTTAAGGAGCTAATAAGGACTATATAGGGCTTAATAAGGCCTAATAGGGTTCTAAATCTGGGGGGGGTACCTTTGGAGGGGTTACTATTGTAATCCCTTACTATTACATCCTGCACCAGCGTAAGTATAGTCTGCAATGTCAGTTGTATTGATATGCTGCTAGGTTCCAATCATAACCCATTATGGTAGTTTATATGTTCTTTTCCATTGTCCCCATGTAACCCCATAGCCCTAATATTGCCCCAATGGGTACCTGAACTCTTTGCCAGGCTTGGGACGCGAATTTTGACAAGGTCTACGACCTTGCATGGCACGTGGTGACTCGCAACGTCTCCACGCTGTGTCCAGGTGGCTTGCCTGCATTGGAGCCATAATCTAGAGTCCTTAAGTGGGGTTTATGTTAGTGATCATTTAGGGTGATAGAGGGTTATATGGGGTTATTTAGGGTTTAGGCCATAAGCCGGATACGCATAGACAGAATGTGCTACTGCAGCTCTAAGGCGTGAGTCTGAGAACCCCATGTGGACTCTCCAAGCTGTGATGGCCAGAACATCTGAGATGTTCGGCCCAGCCTTGGGTTAGGATTTCATGGTTTAGGGCTTAGGCTTCCGGGTTAAGGGTTTAGGTCTAGGTCTTAGTACCGTTTTGCAGGTAGGTGCCTGCTGTCGCTTATAGTCTTATTTTGGGATCTCGATTGGGCTCCAACCCTCTTGTGTGGGCTGGGGTTCCGGCTTGACCTGGGTCTACTTTAAATTGACCCGGCAGGGGAGACGTGCATTGTGAACGAACGCGCGGTGCAAATGGCATTGCGAGTTGGTTGCGGCGGCAGATCAGCTAGCTTTTGAAAGCACTTGCAGTGAGATATTGCTATTTGAGCAATGCTCGCCGTCGAAAAGCTCATGCTCTTGGCGCTACTGTGGCTGTGAGATGGAGCCCCGCAAGTACGACCGTCTCATTGCAAGTTCCAGTGACTAAATAAGTGGAGGCCTTTTCAGAATCCCATGTATGCACATGCTTCATGCTGAATCCTCAACTTGCTTGTCTACTGCCAAATATTCTCGACGGCCAGGCTTGCATGGTTCGCATGAGAGAGCACAACGTCTCTCCAAACTTGACCTGCAACTAGCTCAGCTGTCTAGGCGTTTGGGCCATTGTTGGGCTTCATTTTAGGCCTTGGTTAATGGAACTGTTTTGAAGGGGAGGTATTATGGGGGCAAAAAACTGGGTGGTGTTTCTTCAGGAGCCTCCATCAACGCTGGCAGAAACCAGGATGGGGGTGGACTTTATTAGCAGAAAACGAACCCCCAGTGAGGGTTTGGGGGCCAGGTTTTAGTTGTTTACCTGGTTGTTATTCACTACAGGCCTTACTCAGCCTTGTGGTCTGCGGAACTTGGTGTAAGTCTGTAAGTGCCACAACCTGAGGTTCAGGCCCTTCAGCAGTACCCTGGACATCCCTGGACGACATCCATTGCATGACTATGACTCTGTGAGTGGTATAAGCAGCAAGCTTTTGACGGAGTCTCCCAGGGTTTGGCTTCTGCTTAAGACATGTTGGCTTGAGAATGCAGAAATACAAGCCCAAATATACCACTTATATACTATAGTAGTTTCCATTTCCCCAGAATTCGTATGTAACCCCAATATATACACCTGTTATATGAAGGTGGTTTCCATGTTCTTTCCCATTATCCATATATAACCCTATATTTTACTCTATATTCGCTTATCCTTTTAGTTGAGGGCTAGGGTACTCAATACGCAACATGCTCCTCGGAGCTAAAACTCAAAATTCGGCCATCCAACAAAGGATAATGGAAAAGAACATAGAAACTATTGTAAAATGTTAGGGTTTGTATTGTGGCTATATGGGGATAGTGGAAAAGCAAATGGAAACCACTATTGTATATTAGGGTATATGTTAAGGTTATCTGGGGATATATTGGGATAGTGTAAAAGAAAATGGAGAAAACTATTATAGTATATTCGGGTACATATTGGGGTTACATGGGGATATATCGGGATAATGGAAAAGAAAAATGGAAACTACTATGGCCCACAATGGATGACGATCAGGCCAATTACGGCCAAGTGCTAATGAGGGCACATGTCCTCAGTTCCGTCTAGTAGCACCCGTGGAGTAAAACCTTAAACCCTAAACCCTGCTTAATGGTCCAGCAGCGCCTAGAAAGGGGTCCATTGCGGCTCATTGTGGATTCATGCTCCAGCACAGCTGATATTGCACTGAGTCACCTGGCAAACCGTCAGCAAGCACTGAAACCTTAAGATTCTTAACCAGGGCCAGCTCTCAAAGCCATTGGGAAAAGATTCTTCAACCCCTACAACCTGGAACCCAAATTATGTTCACATATTGGTTGTTCTTTTAATGTCTTATTTGGTTCTCCAGCATTGTACATAAATCTACATAGGGGACTGGAGTTGAAAACTATATTCGAAACCTATGTAACCTCATAACCCCCGAAAAACTGAGGTTACAACTCCTTGCTGAATGCCTTCGCTAGGGCCGCCCTGACATCAGAGGCCAGCAATGCCTGGGGCACTATGTAGCATGTTATATAGGGGATATGTAGCCTCCGCCGCTTGAAATTCTTGCTCGTCCGGGACGCGTAGAGGATGCTCAAGGGACTTCCCCAAGTTTTCTCATCCCTTCCCGGCTTACACTAGATGCCAGTCCTCAAACCCTCACACCCCAGCATCAATATGCTTGCAGGATTTGGGATCCAAACAACAGAGTCATCCTCCTTCAAGTGCTTTTCTCACACCTCAGTGGAATGACATCGACGTGACCTTTGCCTTTTCGAACGTTTTGCAGTCCTGAGCTTTCAATGCTCCTTGTATCGACACAACTCAAATTCAGATCTGAGTCTTTCATCTCCGTATACTCCACTTTCTCCACTTTTGAGGAACTTCAAAACAGACTCCATGCGGGATTTCTAAGATACGTTGCCTATACACTCATTGCGGGTGACCCCAAGATAACTGTGTAATCTCGAAAGCCGTGGCTACCTTGTTTGGAGAAACCGCATCTGCCGGGCCTTCCCCAGGCGCAGGCATCCTTGGCTGAGTTGCGCAAGTCTGCGCTGAAGCCTGTGGGGTCCCAAGAGGGTTTGGGGCTTGAGCGACCAAAATGAGAAGGACATGTTTGGATTTGCGGCTTGGGGTCACAAGAAATTTTAGGGTTTGAGGTCAGGAGCTATTTTGGGCTTTGAGGATTTAGGGCTGAGGAAGTTTTTAGTTCGAAGCCTTTGCAGGGTTGTCAGTCATGGCGCTGGTACTGGGGGTTTGACCATTGTTGGCTCAGGGCATGGGGCATGATTGGCAGTTGGCGGCGTTATTCCAGACCCTAAACCCTAAATTCTAACCCTATACCCCCAAAGAAGGACCCTACGACCACACTTTGACCCTTGCGAAGCCCTTATTAAACCATACGGTAGGGTTTGGGGTTTCCAAAAGCTCTTAGCATATGCGCAATCATTTGTGGTGCGGTGTTCTTGTAGCGTTGCTGACTGTGTACAAGTTTTCGTCTGGATCACATTGAGGGGACCTGCTCTTTAGGATGCGCGAGATTGAGGATTGGAAGGGCCGGCTCATGGATATCCGAACAGTCCAGTTTCGATTGCTATGTCCCCAACCTGCTCTAGCTGCAACTGCACGCGCAAGACGTGTAGGGCGACCATCCTTCACCCATTGCCATTTTCTCCTTATCCTGCTTGGTGCTGAACTGCAGCCACATACTATTTGAAATGGCAATTCTTGAAAACATGCCTGCTCTAGGATGCGGGTGCTGCCTGGGAGCCTTTAGGCCTTTGGCGGCCTGTAGTTCCATATGGTCCCAAGTGCGACGAGAGTTGGTGTAACAGCTTTGGAAGACTGGACTTCAGAAGAAGCATGCCATTCTGACAGGATGTCATAACTTTCAACACGCTGCTCAGTGTCCGAGTCTCAGCCAACCGAAACATTTGCGGCTCACTTATGGTGGCCTACCGCATTTGGGGGATAGTTGATCATATTTGCATGTTAGTGCAGAAGCTGTGTATACCTGTGCTTTTCACATCATCTGGTGTCTACACAGATGGCATAGAGGGTTTTCAGTGATGACATTGGGAGCATCGAGCGCCTGAGGAGGTGCTGATTCACAACAGGGTGTGAAAGGAGATGTGGGCATCTCTGAGGGTCGCAGGAAGTGATTGTTTTCTTCTCTAAAGCTTGGCAGATTCGAGATTTCAGAGTCTCGGGCTCATGTCGATGAGGGCGAAAGGCATATCCTGTTTCAATGATCTTGCAAAACCTTTTACACTCGGTCCGGGTTCTCATATGAAGCCCTGAAAAGCCATGAGCATGCTGAGGAGCAACCTCGCATCCTCGCATCCTGACTCGAAGCCAGTCTAGCTAAGCGACCTCTCCTCCGGACCTGCAAGCTCCGAATATCCTCATCCCTGTTTTCGCTTCTTCGTAAGAAGTATACGCGCAGATTCTATGGGGTATGTATGATTACAGGAAGGGTGTCCCAATTAGCCCGCTAGCCCTAAGCCCTTTCACGAGAGTTCCCACTGTCATGAAGAGTATCATGTTGCTAAGGCTTGCTCTGGAGACTCCAGGCAAAGGGATGGAAGTTCCGGAAGCAGACTGGGTAGAAACATGCGAGGTAGGATTTATGTCGTTCTTTCTTTTGATGAGTGCGTGCAGGATTCATGATGTTATGGATGCATAGGATGTCCGCTCACTTTCGATGGGGATCCCGCAAACGAAGCATGCACCACATATGCGCTGAGAGGATCGAGCAGCATAGGCAACTAGCAGGTTAGTCCACGGTTTCGGAGGCCTCGGAATTGGGGTTGGGCCTCAGGATTGCTTGGAACATTTTTTCCGGCCTAGATCTTTCAGGTTCCTGGTTTGGGTGGGGTCATGGGTTGCATGGTTCGGTGTCAGGCTTGTCATTGATTGCTTGGCAAGGACAGACATTTGAGCGCCAGCGGCATGGACCCTTGAGCTACGCTCATACAGAATTGGAGGTTCCCCCAAATAAGGGGACCCTAATATAGACTCCAAAATATTATACTTCTTATCATGTGGACCCCCAAAGGGTACCCCTAATGTTGGGAAACCCACGTTTTGAGGGAGGAGGTAGCTAGGCAAGATGATGCAAGAGGATGCAAGGCCGTAGAAGCGCAATTGCCGATCTTTCCATTCAACCAGCGACTTTCCAATGGGTTATAGTAGTTTCCATTTTATTGCCCATTAACCCAATATATCCAATGGGTTATAGTAGTTTCCATTTTATTGTCCATTATCCTAATACAAGCCATTATAGTAGTTTCCATTTTATGTTCCATTATCCCAAAGCAGGTTACGGGATGCAAACATTCAACCACTTGAGCTGGGTTCTTCGCCTGACAGCCTTGTGTCTCTTCTGGGCCAGCAGGCACTTACCTAAAAGTAGCCAGGTGCCCCTGTATCATTTCCTCGAAGCTCAGGTGATTTCTTCGGAGATTGCTTACCTAGGCTTCTTTAGTCCTAGTCGCATGCACTTCTTCCCGTTTTCGGAGGTTCAAGGTTCCCTGTGGAACTACCCAATACTACAAGGGGATGCCTTAAACCCAATACCCAAAATCCTAAACCATAAGTCTTCAAGAGAAGAGGAGCGTCTAGTCTAAACTTTTACAGGAGGTCTCGGGACGTCCTTGGAGTGGGTCTCTCAGCTGTGTCCGTGTAGCACTGGGGCGCTGTTGATCGCACCCTGTGCCTTCACAAAATGCCGAGATATGAGAGTCCTGATTCCATATTCAGATTCTTAGTGGTTCTTCTACTACATCTACTACATCTACTACTACTACTACTACTACTACTGGCACCTTTGTGTGCATCATTTGGGGCAGTCAGCTTCTTTTTGGATGGATCAGCCACCTAGTCTAAACCCATTTTAGGGGCGAGTCTTCAGAGCAAACTGCAGCTGGTCGATGGCACATGAGCTACAGTCTAAAGTCCTAAAAGGGGTTATTAAGGGGGATACTAGGAGTTTCGACTATAGATCACATGATAGTCCAGGAGCCACATTGGAGATTGCTTTTTCGATCGACACGGGAGTAAAGTGGGCTCATCATCAACTTGAACTCGCCAAGGACATGGAGCAATGCTCCGTGGAGCCCACTGTCGCCAGCTTGGGCTTGCCGGTTCGTCGTTCACTCTGCACTTCTCAGACTGCCATCCTTTCATTTAAGTTACGTTGAAGTGACAGTCGACTTGTTATTCCAGGCATGTGAGCCGCGCAGATTCCTCATTCTTACTTCAAATATATTAGTATACATGCCCGGTGGCTCATCTCAATGGTAGGATCAGATACGGTCAGCAACCGCCATTTAATTTGTTCTTCTTGTTGCGCCTCACACTGAGCCGACCCTTCTAAACGCCATGAACCGTATATTGGGCGCTTCCCAAAATCTCCAGAAAAAATATTCCCCAAGAGTGAACCTACAACCTTTCTGCAGTATAATCCCCAGATATCTCTGAGGGAGGGTTTATAGTGTTCAGATTTTCCAAGTGTATTGTAAACCCACTTTTGTTATTGCAGCTGCCTGCGCGACGCCTATGCGAGCATACATTGGCAAAGCTGCTAAGCATGATTGAAAATCACGGTGCGCCCCTCCAGCTACCTCAAATAGGACAACATAATCTTGTGACCAGTGTATGGTCTGCATCTTCCCGCTGATTCCTTTCCTTGCTAACTTCCTCCACGCAAAGCCCATATACCAATGTCATAATTTAAGACCTTATAACCCTTTTGGATCCTTCGGGAGACGCAATAAAGCCATGTAAAACGCTATATTATAAGACCATGTAGAGCTGCTTTATCCGATTCTCTGCGAGACCGAGGCTAGGACTTACATTGCCATGGCCTCTTCCTTCGAACGATCGGGCCAATGGCAAGAGGTCGAGGTGCACCCAGCCGCATGCTCTGTCTCTACACTTTCGAGGACTGTGCAAACCTGGTAACCTGGCTCTTCTCCTTCGAGGTAGACTCGGCCACTTTCATGATCTGTGCATGTCATGGCATGTTATGGTCAAAATTGGGTTGTGCACGTTTAGCAGAAAGCCAAGCCACCAGCGTGTTGAACGCTGCGTGGCTAGTCGCAGAGGTAGGCATCGGCGCAAATGATACCCTGCCGAGGCTCCCCGAGACTTTCCTAATTTTCAACATGCCAGCAGGCTTGTCGGACCTCTCCGCTTTATGGGAACTCCTGATAGACCGGTAATCCGACTGCACATGACTGCACGCACGCACACCCCAGGCACACTGTCAATGGAAAGTCTGCCAGGGTGCGAAAGATCGTGTGGAATGCGTACGAACCTGCGCAGTTTCAAACCAAGCCAGTTACGTATGTTAGGTTTTGGAATGAAGGCTGTCGCGTGGCTTCCATAACAGCTAGAGCTTGTTTCCTGTGCAGCCTTAGACATCAGATCGGTGTCAGGTTGAAGCTTATATCATTGCAAGGGCCAGTATAGCGGGGGCTGGTTCATGTCCCTTGGCAAACATGTTGGTTTGCTGCAAGTGCTGTCCGAGCGCTGTGTTTTTCGGCTTCCAGAAAGCTGCGAACTAGTCATCGAAAGCCTGAAAGCACAAGGCTTGGCGCAAGATGTGCCACACAAGGGAGTAGCATGCTCAGGCAGCCTGTCAAGTTGATCGGGACTCTGCACATGCATGGGTGCGTTCATGCATTTGACCGGCGGCAGTTTTCGCCATCAGCATATCCGCGCATTTAGCATGGTTAGAGCATGTTAGAGCAGTAATACCCTAGGGCTCCAGTTACCTAAAGAATAGGAACTGGGTTCTATATACCCTATAGTTATACAGCCCAGTACCCTACTATTTAGGTAACTGGGCCCCCTAGGGATAAGCATCAATGGCTGAAAGACGATTCTACACCAATGGCTGCAAGATGCCTCTCAGACTCTTTGCGCAGCTTTGCCCAAAGTATTGGATCTTCTCGGAATATTCCTTGAGCCCCATGCAAACCTTCTTGTGCACATGTATGTTCCCCTACATGCCCTACATGTATATGTAGCAATGAAACGCCATGAGCTACACAATAGCAATAGTAAAGTCTTCAGCTTGGGTGTCACAGCATGCCCTTTGATGCAAAGTACCTTCCAGAGAACTTGCGCCTGCAGCTGCTCAAAGAGGCAGGAGTCGGGGCCCTCGGGCTAAGAAATCCTCAAGGGGGTTCGTATATACGAGGAACCCGTAGCTAGGGTATCCCTAGAACCTTCCTAAAATCTCAGACATGCCTCCCTAAGGCTCCCCGCGTAGGGAATCCCCCAGTGATTCCTTACTTAGGGGCACCCAGGCATGGGCGCTGCTCACTGATTTGGTTCATTCTCCGTGTGTTGCCTGTCTCTCGCTCTCTCTCTATCTCTCTATCTCTCTCTCTCTCTCTCTCTCACCGTCTGACGGTCGCCTGAGCAGTCAGCAGTTGTGACAACATGAGACCTGTTCCGGGCAAGGAGAGTACCCCAGCTTACAAGAGATCGTCCTCGCAGATGCTCCCTGTCCCTTCGAGTCGAAGGCGTCAGCAGCAATTTTGCGAGGCGCTGCGGCTCGATCCTGACTTGAAAGAGGAGGAGTTGCCATTGCCTTAGCCATGCTTTTCTGGGCAGTGACCGTGAGGCGAAGTAGGGGAAGGAAGGGAGCCTACTGAAGGTTCCACCCCAGCTTTGGGTACACCCCGCTTTGAATGCCAAGTAGGACTACCATGCTGACCGCCACTCTTCCACATGACACATGCTATCAGGTAAGCTATGGAAAGCTGCTAAGCAGGCACCAACGGCAGCTCTTCACAATTTACGATAGCATACAACGAGTAAACCAGATAACGGGAGCTTGTGCCATACTTTTTTAGATTTCTGCAGCGCATGTTTGTCGTGCGGTCTGGTCGTTGCTTGAGCAGTCAGGGCACGCGGTGTGATCCTCCACCTAGACGTGCGAAGCTCAGCTTGTAGACACCCATAGGAGACCTTGGGGAAAGCAGAGGTGGGGTCCATAGCCCATATGTACTGTAGTCTAAATTCCTTAAAGTGGATTACACAGGGGATGATATAGGGGGGGGGGGTATTGTAGGAGTTATTCAGCGGTATACTAGGAGTCTAGACTGTAGCTATTATACGTTAGTGAGGTACGAGATTAAGCCAAGAAAAAAGTTCGGGGCGTGCCTACGCCCACCAGGTTGAAATTGTCCACCTGATTGTCCACCTCCGGCCTTCGAAAATGATCCCTGCCCCCATGACCCCTTGAAAGGAAGGGACTCTCCACATGTCTGTAAATAAAACATCAAATGCTCATATGTATGTATATATAATTACATATAGACATATATCTACATATTTACTGCTTTGTTGATTTATGTACGTATTCATTTATTTGTAGTTTGTTTATTTCTGTATTTCTTCTTGATTTAGCTAGTCATATGTATGCCTATACCCCTCATTCTTGCAATGAGGACCTCCCATGAGCGCTAAACCCTAAACCCTAAGGACCTCCCATAAACCCTAAACCCTAAACCCTAAAAACCTCCCGCAAACCCCAAACCCTAAACTCTCAGGATCTCCCGCAAACCCTAAACTCGAAACCTCCTCATTCTTGCAAAGAGGACCTCCCCTAAACCCTATAAACCCTAAGGACCTCCCACAAACCCTAAACCCTAAACCCTAAGGACCTCCCACAAACCCTAAGGCCCTAAACCCTAAAAACCTCCCACAAACCCTAAACCCTAAACCCGAAGGACCTCCCACAAACCCCAAAACCCTAAACCCTAAGGACCTCCCACAAACCCTGAACCCTAAACCTCCTCATTCTTGCAAAGATCACCTCCAATGAGCCCTAAACCCTTAACTCTAAAAACCTACCCAAACCCTAGACCCTAAACCCTGAATCCGAAGGACCTCCCACAAACCCCAAAACCCTAAACCTCCTCACTCTTGCAAAGAGGACCTCCCAGAACAGCTGAGCCGCGCAATCTCCAGAGAGGCTTTCGGGGTTGGGCCACATGGCAAGGACCAAAAAGGTGATGAGCAATTTATAACCCCTACCAGGACCCTCCTTGTACCCTTAAAAGGGGATATATGGTCCTTAATGGTGGGTACTTAGGCCCTAATAGCGGGTAGGAGGAGGGTCCAGGTATATATTCCCTATCCCTGTAGTTTCCGTTTTCTTTTCCATCATCCCTATATAGCCCCAATATAACCCTGTTAAACCCCATTATGGTAGTTACTAAAGCCCCAATATACTATAGCAGTTTCCATTTACAGGATCCCTCTAAAGCTGTCATAAGAGTTCTGTAGGCATATTTAGGATTTGAATTGTGGAGAATCACCTGGGACAACCCCATATTGCCAGTAGCTTACATACCGCCCGAACTTCATTCTTTCTTTACGTTGTATTCTCCCAATTAAACATGGGGGTTCCTGGTATGTTCTCACCGAAGTTTACATGAATCCCCTTGGGAAGGACCCTTGCAACACCCCCCCCACCCCCCCCAACCCAAAACAGAAAAAACAAAACAAACAAAAAAAAAACAACACCGGCTGTCTTGGAAATGCACGCGTGATTTACCAACTACAATCCTTGTATCAACTAACAGAGGGCCCCCCAGTGACCTCATGTTGGGAAACCCTAATCCCCATAAACCACTATGCAATCCCAGCTTCATTTTCCCTTTGGAGGCCACCAATCCAATGGATGCAAAGGGCACTACAGGGGTTGACTTGCAAATCCCTACTTAAATGCTCCCCCGCAAATCAACCCTAGACTCTAGGAAGGTGCACAGCTGAGAATTTCTCAACAGAATCCCTACAAGATCCTGACGCCACGCAATGTTATCCACATCTCACTCCTTTGCAAATCTCGTTGAGCCCCGCCTAAACCCTAAACCCTAAACCCCTATCCCCCCAGTGTGAGCCCCCCAGTATGATACCCCTTGCCCAAAGCTTCAGCAGAACTCTCCAGGCCTTCCTGCGGGATCTGCAATGGTGTCCGCGGAACTTTCTTCACAGGTGCCCTCTGTCCGACTGGGAGATATTGGATTGCTGTTAAGGAACTTGAGTTAAGTTACTATATACTATGTACTACATGTTCCCATTATGGTAATTTGAGTTCCTTAACAGCAACCCAGGAAAGCGAGGAGAGAGGGAGAGGAATAGAGAGAGAGGGCGAGAGAGAGGTGACTTTGAGGTTGCTCAAAACAGTCCTCAGTGGATTCAAGGGAAGGGGTCCTATGTTTTAGGACATGCAAGCTGCTCCGGATTCAGGCATGCAGGAGCCAAGGCCCCCTTCAGACATCACCTAGAATAGACAGATTTCTATCAGCGGCCCTATCCTAACGCGAGACTTTCAAAAAGTTCAGGCAGGCGCAGGTGATGTAGCAGCTGCCGTCACCAGTGTCCCATTGCTGAAATCCTCACAATACAGATCCCAGCCTTTGAATCGATAAATTTAATGATGGGGTGCGCTTATTCTATGGTTTCTGAAGGGTGCCCCTCTGCATCGCTCTCGGGTCTTTGCTGAGTAGCTTCCGCCCCTCTCTCCCTCTGTCTCTCAGACATTGCTTATGCGTGCCAGCCGACTGTTTTTTGAAGATGTTAATGGGAAGCATTTTAAAACGTGCAAGGCTGAAGGCAATCCAGATCCAACTTGTTTCCTGCGTTCTGAGGTACAGACTGGCCTTTAAAGACCTGGATGATGTGCCGCGGGAGGCTTGATTCTGTTTAAGATTGCGGTGCCTCATGACTTGTCCTTTGAGGACGCCCTCACGTACAGCTTGCATGTGGGGATTTCCCAAAATTAGGGTCACCTTTCCGCGGGGTCACTATAATCAGGATTGTAACATTTTTGGAGCTAGATTGGGGTCCGCCTATTTAGGGAAACTACCAGGTCATGCGCATCT